CATGGTGGTTCACTGTAAATTGAGAAGGCAAAGCTTTTTTCATGTATTACCCAGTATATAGTTCTTATCACCATAGATAAGTATAAAAAATCTATTTCAAGAATAACACAAAACAATGTGAAAGCACTTTAAAATATGTAAACAATATAAATTTTTACTCACTCAAAAGTATGAAGATTAAAGGAACAGCCAAATAAGATTTCAAATTCCTTCCCATAATGAAGTATCTGGAAAAATACTGTTGTCACTACTCGTATGAAAAATAAATTAGTTTGACAGCTGGTTTGTTATAAATGAAGTTTCATACAGGATATACTTCAGTGATCAGCACTCAAATGTTGGCCTTGCTTGTTCATTAAAGTCATGTGACTGCTTTTCTAAAAGCTTCATCCACCTGTTCGCAGGTTTTTGAGTTAACAGTTCAAAGATCAGAAAACAATACAAGAAAATATATCAAACTTGCTTAAACTTGTATGATCCATAAAATTGATATTGACTCATAATTAGATATGAAATTAGCAAAATCTATTATATCCTACTGTTATAATGCAATAATGCAAGTAATTTTATAACAATTTTTTTCCCATTTCTTTACTGAATTTTTATTCTCTGGAAGTTCAGTAAATCATTACTGAGGTACCGAGAAAAAAGCTGTAATCTTTTAAAATGTAATACAGCAGTTGTGCAATAACTTAAATTGTACAAAAAAAAAGAGGAAAAAAAGTAATGTGACAAAAGACCTACTATTTGGTTGTCACACCCACCATTAGAGTAAACAACTGACCAGAAAATTTGTACCCAATATATTTTGGCATACATTATAAATAACTTTCATTTCATACAAACTTTTAAAGCTTAAAATAGCTTCACAAAATGAGGAGTTGATACTATTGATTGGCTGATTGATGGTTGCTTAAGGTCATGTTGGCAAATATTCACGTCAACCCCTTTAGTCCTGCTTGGTATAAATATTGTTTTTTACGACCCGAAAATTTTGGGAGCATGTAGTAATCTCTTTGTTGTGAGTGTGTCCTAAACAAATGGTAACTTCAATACCCATGGCTTGATTGAAAGCAACTTATACAGGTGGAAGATATAGGGAAGGGGACATTTGTGTCAATAGGTTAAAGGTCATGGTCGCTTTTTCTGAAGAAAAAAAATAGATTTATTTTTCTTAGTCAGTTTTGGTATTGTATCCCACTATGTAATACATTTATACAGTTTAACAATAAACGAGAATAGAACATATATATTGGTCACTCCAATTTTACCATTTTTTTTTTAAAAGTTTTCTCTCAATATATGGACAGTTTGGGGAGCATCAGATGGCAGTTCCAGCTTTTTAGTTATTTTATATTGAGTGAGATAAGAAGTGAAATGAAAGTCCAATTTTCTGGATTTACCCTCATCAGTAACGCTCAAACCCAAAAATTTGAAGGCCAAGGATGTATAAATACCTGAAAACGTTCTGGAGCTAAATGACCAAAAGAGACTTGAAAAGAATTTCTGAGTTGCAAGATCAACTTTGCTTGAGGGAGTTGGAACCTTAGTTTCTAAGTAATTTATCAATTTATTAAAAGAAAATTTTAGAAAAATTTGTAAAAATCATGTCACATTTTTGTTTCTTATTTTTTAAGTACACATTAGCCAGAATAACTAGGTGAATATTTATTTTCTAACCAAATGACACGTACATCTACTGTAGAAAGTTCACCAAGTAGTAACATATACATATATTTGTACCATGTAGTTTAATCATTGATTTTGTTATCATTGTATGATTTCTGTACCACAACTTTTACATCTTATGTTTATAAATCTAAGTCAAATTTTGACAAACAAAACTACATGCATATGAAAAAAGTCAATATTTGGTCTTGTTTTTAGTGTTGCCTGTTTCAGAAATAAGATATAAAAAATACATCTTTAGTATGATATTGACCCATAGAATGTTCTATATAATTAAATGCTAAAGCAGTTTTCCTTTACTCAATACAAAATTATATTCCGGAATATGCAATGGAAAGGTTTCCTCTGAGCTGCCATACCTTGTCCAATGATCTGAAAAGTTCAACTTTCTTATATTTTATTTGTGTTCACAAATCAAGACATTTTTTTTCTTTCAACATTTAAATACCAAACAGTATAAATATATAGATATATAAACATGTACTTAAAACATAGATTTATTATACTGATAAATCTTGCATGACTGTAGCAGGACAATAGTGGTAAAGTTAGAACAAATCAACTGCCATAATTTAACATGTCCAGTGTGCCTCCATTATGGTTAAAGTTTACATTCTAGTTAATATCTCAATAACAGTAAGTGATAAGTTTGTCCAAACTTGTTTGAATAGATGTATCAGTATTTTGGATGAGTTTGTCAGCATCAGGGCAAAAGTAAGTCACTGTGTCCTACATTTCATACTCTATTGCCCTTTGTCAAGTTTTTGGCGAGCCTGCCACTTTTGTCGCAGAAAGCTCGACATAGGGATAGGGATAGCTGCGGCGGCAGCGTTAGCTAACTTTTTAAAAGCTTTATATTTTAGAAGGTGGAAGACCTGGATGCTTCATACTTTGTATATAGATGCCTCATGTTACGAAGTTTCCGTCAGTCACATGTCCAAAGTCCTTGACCTCATTTTCATGGTTCAGTGACTACTTGAAAAAAAAGTTCAGATTTTTTTGAATGTTTAATTCTCTCTTATAGTAATAGGATACCTATATTTGGTATGTGCGTACCTTGCAAGGTCCTCATGCCCGTCAGACAGTTTTCACTTAACCTCGACCTCATTTCATGGATCAGTCAACAAGGTTAAGTTTTGGTGGTCAAGTCCATATCTCAGATACTATAAGCAGTAGGTCTAGTATATTTGGTGTATGGAAGGACTGTAAGGTGTACATGTCCAACTGGCAGGTGTCATCTGACCTTGACCTCATTTTCATGGTTCAGTGGTTATAGTTAAGTTTTTGTGTTTTGGTCTGTTTTCTTATACTGTATGCAATAGGTCTACTATATTTGGTGTATGGAATGATTGTAAGGTGTACATGTCTAGCTGGCAGGTGTCATCTGACCTTGACCTCGTTTTCATGGTTCAGTGGTCAAAGTTAAGTTTTTGAGTTGTGGTCTTTTTTTCTAATACTAAAGCAATAGGTCAACTATATTTGGTGTATGGAAATATTTTATGATCTATAAGTCAGTCGCGCAGGTTTTATATGACCTTGACCTCATTTTCAAGGTTCATTGCTCAGTGTTAAGTTTTTGTGTTTTGGTCTGTTTTTCTTAAACTATAAGCAATAGATCAACTATATTTGTTATATGGAAGAATTGTTAACTGTACATGTCTGCCTGGCATGGTTCATCTGACCTTGACCTCATTTTCATGGTTCATTGGTCAATTTTTAGTTTTCTTGGTTAATGTTAAGTTTATGTGACAGTTGTAATAAAGCTTTATATTTAGGACTATCAACATAATATCAATGATTAGTAAAGAAGGTGAGACATTTCAGCGTGTGCACTCTTGTCTGTTCATTTATCATTTTGGCAAATGTAGGTCACTATAACCTATATTACATTCTTGTCATCATTAATTGATTTAAGTGTATTGTGCAGAAGGAGGCAAACTTTGTAATCATAGATTACTATGAAGCTTTTGATGATTAAAAAACAAATGAAGCAGTAAATTTTATCATCCAGAGGGGTTTCACTGGTAAAAGAAAGATAATTGCCCTTCTGAGCTCTTGCTATATTTATTATGATAGGTCCTATAGTATATACATATAAAATATTATTTATGTTTATATAATGTTTAATTCTCTCTTATAGTAATAGGATACCTATATTTGGTATGTGCGTACCTTGCAAGGTCCTCATGCCCGTCAGACAGTTTTCACTTAACCTCGACCTCATTTCATGGATCAGTCAACAAGGTTAAGTTTTGGTGGTCAAGTCCATATCTCAGATACTATAAGCAGTAGGTCTAGTATATTTGGTGTATGGAAGGACTGTAAGGTGTACATGTCCAACTGGCAGGTGTCATCTGACCTTGACCTCATTTTCATGGTTCAGTGGTTATAGTTAAGTTTTTGTGTTTTGGTCTGTTTTCTTATACTGTATGCAATAGGTCTACTATATTTGGTGTATGGAATGATTGTAAGGTGTACATGTCTAGCTGGCAGGTGTCATCTGACCTTGACCTCGTTTTCATGGTTCAGTGGTCAAAGTTAAGTTTTTGAGTTGTGGTCTTTTTTTCTAATACTAAAGCAATAGGTCAACTATATTTGGTGTATGGAAATATTTTATGATCTATAAGTCAGTCGCGCAGGTTTTATATGACCTTGACCTCATTTTCACGGTTCATTGCTCAGTGTTAAGTTTTTGTGTTTTGGTCTGTTTTTCTTAAACTATAAGCAATAGATCAACTATATTTGTTATATGGAAGAATTGTTAACTGTACATGTCTGCCTGGCATGGTTCATCTGACCTTGACCTCATTTTCATGGTTCATTGGTCAATTTTTAGTTTTCTTGGTTAATGTTAAGTTTATGTGACAGTTGTAATAAAGCTTTATATTTAGGACTATCAACATAATATCAATGATTAGTAAAGAAGGTGAGACATTTCAGCGTGTGCACTCTTGTCTGTTCATTTATCATTTTGGCAAATGTAGGTCACTATAACCTATATTACATTCTTGTCATCATTAATTGATTTAAGTGTATTGTGCAGAAGGAGGCAAACTTTGTAATCATAGATTACTATGAAGCTTTTGATGATTAAAAAACAAATGAAGCAGTAAATTTTATCATCCAGAGGGGTTTCACTGGTAAAAGAAAGATAATTGCCCTTCTGAGCTCTTGCTATATTTATTATGATAGGTCCTATAGTATATACATATAAAATATTATTTATGTTTATTTCTGTTTTCCAGAATTAAGTTAATTTGAAAAATTCTGTTAGATAAAATATCTATGTATTTAGTTTATACTCATTTCAGTTGATAACCTGACTGTTGCTGACAGCTTGCCACATTTATTGCTTACTATTCATGTGATGAATTCCCTTCCCAAACTATCAGGTAAGTTTGTACATAACATTTCCAACATGTTCTTTTTCTTTTTAAATCCTTCATATGTTTGAAACTGGAAACGTTAAAAGGTTTTATTTATTACTGGCCATTTACATATTTTAAATAAAGAAAAAGAAACTTTTGAGAATCTTCCACTGGTATTGTTTAAAAGTACTTATTCTAGCTTTTACATAAAAACTTGTTCATACAAAACGAAGCTGAAAAAAATTGAAAATTAATGTTTCCAGTATTTTGGTTTCTTGCAAGGTATGTTTTTGTTTTGAATGAGAAATGTGTATGTCATAAATTAGTAATATTACTTTTGGTATGATTTACAGACAGTGAAAAGGAAAGATGGTTGTCACCAAATAACCACCCTGAAGACATCCAAGCTCACAGTCTAATACAAACAATCTTCTATCTCCTAAACAAATGTAAGTTTACATACAGAGAAATGGACTTAATATTTAGAAATTATGTTGCATTATGGGACCAATATAAAAGTAAGAAGATGTGTTATTATTGCCAATGAGGCCAAACGATGTAGAAGGTTAGCAACTATAGGTCACTACGGCCTTCAACAATGAGAAGAACACATACCGAAAAGCAAGCTATAAAAGACCCTGATATGAGGAATGTAAAGCAATTTAAATGAGAAAACTAACTGATTTATGTAAAATACAGTAAAAGAGAAAACAAAAATGATATACAGCAACAAAAGACAACTACTGAATTACAGGCTCCTGACTTGGGACAGGTACACACAGAATGTAGCGGGATTAAACTTGTAAGCGGGCTACCAACCCTCTCCCATCCTGGGAGTATAAAACGATAAATGAAAAACAAATATGTATGACTGCGACTTTGAGATGAAGAACAGCAATAAAAGCGCTGTTCCTTTGCTTTTTGTGTTTTTTGCTGTGCATATACTGATATTGTGTCATGGATGGATACCCATATAATTTCTTTTCTATTATGATACACAGCAACAAACGACAACCACATAATTACAGGCTCCTGACTTGGAACAGGCACATATAGAATGTTTTGGACATTTTGATTGGTCCAGAGGTCATTTTCAATAAAAATGCTGATGCTGCATTACATAATTTACAAGATCATAATTTCTGAATTCGTCCATTGATTTTTTTAATAAATTCCTTGGAATCTTCATTATGAGATGATTAAAGCAGAATAAAAAGGAAGTTTCTTAAATTACTAAAGACAAATGGTTTAACCAAGAATACCTATAATTCATCCCAACCTGCCATAACCGGTACTTTTTCTTTCAAATCACTACTTACAATATTATAAAGTAGAGTAAAAAATTCACTTCAATTCACAAAGATCAATATAGAGGTACATTTTTGTATACATAAATTGCTTTTTCTAACAAGCTTGTAGTTCATATTGAATATAATAAAATTGAGAATGGAAATGGGGAATGTGTCAAAGAGACAACAGCAGAAGGTCACCAACAGGTCTTCAATGCAGCAAGAAATTCCCGCACCCGGAGGCGTCCTTCAGCTGGCCCCTAAACAAATATATATACTAGTTCAGTGATAATGAACGCCACACTAAACTCAAAATTGTACACAAGAAACTAAAATTAAAAATAATACAAGACTGACAAAGGCTAGAGGCTCCTGACTTGGGACAGGCGCAAAAATGCGGCGGGGTTAAACATGTTTATGAGATCTCAACCCTCCCCTATACCTCTAGCCAATGTAGAAAAGTAAACGCATAACAATACGCACATTAAAATTCAGTTCAAGAGAAGTCTGAGTCTGATGTCAGAAGATGTTCTGTTAAAATCAGGGAGCATTTTATTTTATATTTGAATAGGTTCAGTGGAGGTGATTTTGCCTGTTTGTGTTCCAGGACTATCCAGTACAAGTAAAAAAGATAAGTATGTACAAATACAGTATATTCCTATTGGTTTTCTTACTGTTTAAAATAATAGAAATGTTTGTTATATATCAATAAGGGATCAACCTAACAACAAAAAACAGAAAAGACATCTAGTCTTTGGCTTCATTCTTCTGTTTATTTGCTGTCTCCTCATTATTTTATCCACAGAATTATATTTTTTCACATTCAAGGAGTTGAGCATTCAAGTATACTGTAAGGTGCATTTTTTGTTATTGAGTAGTTTAAATTTTGTTGGCAAGGTTTTATTTTATTGTTTTTTCTGATCCCTGATTTTAATCTTCCTTAACATCAAATGATTCTTCAAATTTTACAAAAAAGATGAATAGGATTTATATAACTGACTGGCTAATTTTTAAAGTATGTGCACATAGACTCTCTCTTTTTTTAAATCCTATATTTTATCCAAATCTTCAGGAAATTGACTGCGATTGAATTATTGTCTTCCAGTACTTTAATTCGCTGACAGATTTTCTGTATGCAGTGACCTTAACTACACCGGGCATCCAGATCTAAAATCAGCGGAGGGATCTGAATCCAGAGAAGTAATAAATGAAAAGTTTGTAACCGTGGGTAGGTAAAATATGGATCCGATTCCCATGAAACGTAATTCCTCTGTGGGAATTGTATCCAGAATTTACTTACCCACCGTTACAAAATTTTTTTTTTGATTGCTCCTTGGGATTCGGATCCCTCAGCAATTTTGGATCGGTTACATGACTCCTCTAGTTAGAAATTAACCAATCACACTGGTTTACTATATATGCAAAAATGATCAGCAAGACAAGATCTACAAATAAATCAGTATGTTAGAAATCGTATAGGAGTTATTGCTCATAAAATTACCATTTTTTGGGGGATATTTTGTCTATTTTCTTGAAAACTATAATAGATAGTTAGGGAAAAAAAGAAAGAAAAAAATCAGACCTACAAATAAGTCATGAAGGCGGAAATTGTTGGTTGACTTCTTATATGAATAATTGCCCCTAAATGATGATTATTTTTTTGCATTTTTACTTTATTATCTTGAAATAGATGGGAATGGGGTATGTGAGCTCACTAAAAGTACTTTCATTCTTTACAGGGAGGCTTGTTTGTATGATGAAATTTGCGTGCATTTCTGTGGTTTTATTGGAAGTTTACCAGCAGCACATTTTCATAAACTGGTATGTTTTATTTAATTACAGAAGATATTTCATTTTGCTTAGTTCCACCATGTTTGAAATATTTAATATTATTCATTAGACAGCATACTATACTTCTAAACATTTAACCTCATTGGACAGAAAATAACGCTGATTGATTTGAAGTGTAATTGATATTGCAGTATTTTTCAAATGCTTCACATCTTCAACAATATTTTGGATAAAGATTGCATGAAATGCAATCAAAACCCTATGGTACTGACTGGATTTCTAAATCTACCAAGGTTTATCACTACTTTTGAGATTCACAAAATATAGTGCATTGATCATAACATTGTAAACATCCAATCCATGATCATTTCCAGAAATTTATCAATGAAGTATATGCTCAGATATTCAAGTTACAAAATGATGTTTTACTTGTCAAGAAAATTACATAACTTGTGCAAGGGGCATGAATCTAACATTTGTTCTTAAAATATCAATGATGTCTTCTTCTTCTAGTGTATGCCCACCCTATTTGCAGGGTCACCGCATTAAAAGTATATGCCTTTATTATACCCCCGCTTTAAAAAAGGGGGGTATACTGTTTTACCTCCGTCTGTCCATCCGTCCGTCCGTCCCATGAATATTTTTCGTCGCATCTTTCTCAGGAACTACATTACAAGGATTTCTGAAATTTGGTTTCAGGGTTAATATTAGTCATTTATACCGTGTGATGTGTTTTCAGATTCATCACTCAACAACTTCCTGTTTACCTTATACTTTTAGTAGAGCAGGGGTATCATTAGTGAGCAGTAGCTCACAGATTCACTTGTTTTAAAAATAAATTAAATTTACCTTGTTAATATAGTTAAATGTTAATTAAATAAAACAAAGGTAAAATGGTAAAAGGAGAGAGAACATGTATTTACACTGTACACATCCGTCTGACAAGAAATTATAAAACTTATATTATTTTAAAATGGATAAAACTCTTTGATAAGACTGTTTGCTTTATCTGCAGTTAAAAATTTCCACTTGCAATGATAAAAGTATTCATGGTTTCATAGTCTTGACTAATGGATAGGGCCTTATATATCGCGTAGGAACCCTCATATTTGAGTGAATTAAAATCTAAAAAAAAATTAAATTTCAATAGTATAAAATTTAATCTTAAAAAACTGAGTTGGTATGATTTCAAAGTATAAGATTTAACTTTGAGAAGTCTATTAAAAAGGATTAAAAATGGTATTTATTTATTGTCTAGATGTAAGAGACATGGGGATATAATTTAATTTTGGATGTAACGCGTCTTCTGATTGGCTGACGTTGTTTTGTTTATCAGCTCATAGACATAATTTTGTCATGTGACCTTGACGTCATCAATGTTTTTTCATGGTTTACTCAGGTTTAAAATGGAATTTAGAATTAAATTATAAGAAATGACTGTAATATTTTTTCTGTCTATTCGAAATAACATAAAAAATGTGGTGCACACTTTAAAATAACCCGCTACGCTGGTTATTCAGTGTGCACCACATTTTTTATGTTATTTCTTCGTAGACAGAAAAAATATTTCGCATACTAAGAATCCGGTTAAGTGGTTTAAAATATGATAAAACATATGTAGTTGTTGTCTCTCATGACCGATAGCACAACCACTGCTGTATAGTTGTGGAGACAATTTTGCCGATTAATGTTAGTTTTGTTAGAAAACAGTTCTTTTAATTAACACAGTAGTTCAGCTCCTTGATATGCAATGCATAGACCCAATCTTTGCATATTCTTTCTATAGCATCTAAATGAGATATAGATATGTAGGTATTGGTGCTGCAGTCGATTAGCAGTTTATGTAGGTGTATTTCTGATTTAATGACATGGTTATAAATAATCTTGTTGTCTGTCATTATCTTTTTTAATCTACTGTGGTGAGCATTTCTCACATTATCTAGACTTTTACAAGTAATTAGGAAATGTTTGTAATCTTCAGGGCCTTCCTTACATAACGTACATTCAGTCGACTTTGTTTTGTCAAATAGGGAAATGACATTTTAGGTTTTATAAGTCCCTATGAGAATTCTAGAATTAATTATACCTTTGCTGATGTCTCTTTTATGGTCTTTGACACTTCTCCAACAGATATTTGGTTTCTGAAAATTCCAGTTGTTTTTTTCAGTGTGTTCAAGAGGAGATTTAGTTTCAGCTATTTCTGTCCATCTCATTTTCCAGGTTGAATCTATCATATCGTGGGTTATTTTTTTCCAATTTTTCTTTGGGTTAAATATAATTTCATGTGCTGAAGGTAAATATAAGATCTGAGAATATTGTCCACTTTTATAAACCAACTATTGGATTGATAATCTTTTGTTGCCAGTTCTCTTATTCCTATTCTATGTTCGATTAAATTTTCATCTTTTGATATTCTGAGGAATAGGGAGATTACTGCTTTGTGAATAAGTTGGTTAACCGCTTCAGCTCCGAGAAGGATATAAATTGCAGCATCAGCAGTTCTTTGTGGTAAAGACAGAAGTTGCTTGAATGTCTTTTTTTGAAAATTTTCTGATTTTTTATTTATTACTTATGTTCTCCAAAGTTTGTATGATATTAATGGATTAATTCCGTGATTCCGTGTAGACCTGCTCCCATAAGAGAGGGCATATTTTATATGATATTAATGGATTAATTCCGGTGATTCCGTGTAGACCTGCTCCCATAAGAGAGGACATAGTTTGTATGATATTAATGGATTAATTCCGTTGATTCCGTGTAGACATGCTCCCATAAGGGAGTACATAGTTGCTCTTGCAGTGGAGATTCTATTCTCTATGTTTGGATTATTTTGTTTCTGTCTTTCTTTGTCATTGTTAAAGTAATCTTTAAAATTGGAGTTATCTTCCTTTGTCCCTTATTGTAGTTGTATCAACTACAACCAATGCTTTATACAATGCAATGTTTAATTTGACTTCCCACTGATAAATTAAAGCAAACTTTACCCTTCAGTGCTTAAAAGCACTTTGATTAACAGTAGTGTTTCACCATTGACTTAATATAGCATTTCGTTTTTGTTTTGTTCTGTTTCCTATGATTTATTTGACATTTTGCTCTGGAAAGTGTAGTTAAAATATGGGCAGAATTTATTTATTCAAAAGAAGCTTAGTTTTCCTAATACATGTATATGTTTTTTCTATCCCATAGGAAGAAGTATTAATAGATAATTTATTATCTACGAGTCCAGTCTGTTCACAGTTAGCTACAGATGCTTGGTGTTTCCTTGTTAGGTCAGTATTATATAGTCCTTAGTCAGAGGAAAAAGAAGAAGATAAATATTTTATTTGTAGTATTGGTAAATATGAGGGGAAAGTAGTTTTACACATTAAAAATTAGATTGAAGGAAAAAAATCTACACTCTAGATCAAAGGCTTCCAACAGTCATATTTGTCAGACAAATATAAATTTATCAGACATTGTCCGACTGGGCCAAGCATGAAACGGACATCCTACGTAGGTTTGCCATTTCAACGTTCATGTGATTCAGAAAAATCAACCATTTTGACTTGACCTTGTGCTTTAAACAGCCACACTTTTCCTGTCATTAAAGTGACAGTACTCTTATAAACAAGCCCTACTATAATCCCCTCTCATTACAATCATTTACCTGTGATCACCTGTGTTGGGTAAACTATTTGTGTCGGACATCAATCGATCTTTATGGAAGTTATTTTTCTATTTAAATTAAAAACATTCCTGGTTTAAATCTAACTACTTTCTAGCAAAACAGATTGAGACTATCAGAAAAACGTATTTTAAACGATAAGATCATAATTTACATGCAATAGGTAAACTATTTTGTACCGGACATTGATTGGTCTATTTATGAAAAAAAAAAGATTTTTTTTTTAATTTTAGCAGTTTGTATCTATTCAATTTAGTCAAAAAGATTTAGATTATCAGAAATACATATATGAACATAATTTGATGAAATAATTAAAAAGGTTGTAAGTGAAAAATCATCAGAACCATGTTGTTTGAACTAGTTCACAAGTGTGCATGTGCTCAGGAGTCAGGTTTAATTATGCATCCAAATTTTTCAAAAATGCTTGAATCATGATTAATACCTTTATCTAACGTTCATTTCAAGTATTTTCCTGAAGAAATAACATGGAAAGAGCTACTTAAAGTCAATTGTGCTTTGTAAATGTATACGGATTTCACATATCCGTCTCTGGTCCATGTTTTACCATTGTCAAGTCAACATCTGGTATTACAAAAATATGTTTTTTAAAATCGAAAGAGAAGTTGTTGAGTGTTAATTTTCCACAAGTCTAAGGCAGATATTGAACACTTCTAATGATGCACTGTCAATTGAACAGTTTACGTCAGAACATCGAATTTATATCAATAGTCAAGTTTAAATTGTTTGTGTGTCAATCATTGTTTATATGATGCCCAACTGATTAAAATGCTTGCCTTTTGTTACTAAGTCTTAAGGGATTGCAATCAGGATAAGACAAAAAAATGTCCGGCTGGCTCAAATATTTTTTGGAAGCCCTGCTCTAGACATTATAATACAGGACCGTATTGCTTCTAAATATAGGATGGAAGGAAGATCAGTCCTACTATGTTCTTCACCAAAGATGTAGCATCAGTCATACATGAATACACTATTGTTGATCATTCAATTTCATACAGAAAAGTCAAGAGCCCTTGATAAATTAAACTAGTCCTTTTTTAGCTCACCTGACCTGAAAGGTCAAGTGAGCTTTTCTCATCACTTGGCGTCCGTCGTCCGTCGTCCGTAAACTTTTACAAAAATCTTCTCCTCTGAAACTACTGGGCCAAATTTGACCAAACTTGGCCACAATCATCATTGGGGTATCTAGTTTAAAAAATGTGTCCAGTGACCCGGCCAACCAACCAAGATGGCCGCCATGGCTAAAAATAGAACATAGGGGTAAAATGTAGATTTTGGCTTATATCTCTGAAAACAAAGCATTTAGAGCAAATCTGACATGGTGTAAAATTGTTTATCAGGTCAAGATCTATCTGCCCTGAAATTTTCAGATGAATCGCACAACCCGTTGTTGGGTTGCTGCCCCTGAATTGGTAATTTTAAGGAAATTTTTCCGTTTTTGGTTATTATCTTGAACATTATTATAGATAGAGATAAACTGTAAACAGCAATAATGTTCAGCAAAGTAAGATCTACAAATAAGTCAACTTGACCAAAATGGTCATTTGACCCCTTAAGGAGTTATTGCCCTTTATAGTCAATTTTTAACCATTTTTCGTAAATTTTTGTAATCTTTTACAAAAATCTTCTCCTCTGAAACTACTAAGACAAATTTAACCAAACTTGTCCACAATCATCATTAGGGTATCTAGTTTAAAAAATGTGTCCGATGACCCCGCCCACGAACCAAGATGGCCGACATGGCTAAAAAATAGTACATAGGGTAAAATGCAGTTTTTGGCTCATATCTCTGAAACCAAAGCATTAAGAGCAAATCTGATGGTATAAAATTGTTCATTAGGTCAAGATCTATCTGCCCTGAAATTTTCAGACCAATCAGGCAACCCGTTGTTGGGTTGCTGCCCCTGAATTGGTAATTTTAAGGAAATTTTGCAGTTTTTGGTTATTATCTTGAACATTATTATAGATAGAGATAAACTGTAAATAGCAATAATGTTCAGCAAAGTTAGATCTACAAATAAGTCAACTTGACCAAAATGGTCAGTTGACCCCTTAAGGAGTTATTGCCCTTTATAGTCAATTTTTAACCATTTTTCGTAATTTTTTGTAATTTTTTACAAAAATCTTCTCCTCTGAAACTACTAAGACAAATTAAACCAAACTTGTCCACAATCATCATTAGGGTATCTAGTTTAAAAAATGTGTCCGATGACCTCGCCCGCGAACCAAGATGGCCGACATGGCTAAAAAATAGTACATAGGGTAAAATGCAGTTTTTGGCTCATATCTCTGAAACCAAAGCATTAAGAGAAAATCTGATGGTATAAAATTGTTCATTAGGTCAAGATCTATCTGCCCTGAAATTTTCAGACCAATCAGGCAACCCGTTGTTGGGTTGCTGCCCCTGAATTGGTAATTTTAAGGAAATTTTGCAGTTTTTGGTTATTATATTGAACATTATTATAGATAGAGATAAACTGTAAATAGCAATAATGTTCAGCAAAGTTAGATCTACAAATAAGTCAACTTGACCAAAATGGTCAGTTGACCCCTTAAGGAGTTATTGCCCTTTATAGTCAATTTTTAACCATTTTTCGTAATTTTTTGTAATTTTTTACAAAAATCTTCTCCTCTGAAACTACTAAGACAAATTAAACCAAACTTGTCCACAATCATCATTAGGGTATCTAGTTTAAAAAATGTGTCCGATGACCTCGCCCGCGAACCAAGATGGCCGACATGGCTAAAAAATAGTACATAGGGTAAAATGCAGTTTTTGGCTCATATCTCTGAATCCAAAGCATTTAGAGCAAATCTGATGTGAATAAAATTGTTCATTAGGTCAAGATCTATCTGCCCTGAAATTTTCAGACCAATCAGGCAACCTGTTGTTGGGTTGCTGCCCCTGTATTGGTAATTTTAAGAAAATTTTGCAGCTTTTGGTTATTATCTTGAATATTGTTATAGATAGAGATAAACTGTTAACAGCAATAATGTACAGCAAAGTTAGATCTACAAATAAGGCAACATGACCAAAATTGGCAATTGACCCCTTAAGGAGTTATTGCCCTTTATAGTCAATTTTTTACAATTTTCATAAATTTTGTAAATTTTTGTAAATTTTTACAAAGTATTTTCCACTGTAACTACCGGGCCAAGTTCATTATAGATAGAGATAATAGTAAGGAGCAAGAATGTTCAGTAAAGTAAGATCTACAAACACATCACCATCACCAAAACACAATTTTGTCATGAATCCATCTGTGTCCTTTGTTTAATATGCACATAGACCAAGGTGAGCGACACAGGCTCTTTAGAGCCTCTAGTTTTCTATTTTTTTTAGATTTACAGTGATTGTACAACATCAATTGTCAAAAAAAAAAAAAAAAGTTTTAGTTTGAATTCCTCTCTTCAAACTATTTAAGTGAAAGGTTGTTAATATTAAGTAATTGCAGTGTCATGAAAAAATTTCTTACCATCAAAGTTCAGTGAATGATCAGTTTCATGAGAATGAATACTAAGTTATCAGTAAACTAGTTAAACAAACTTGGATATGTAAATTGAAAACTTGAAAAAAATGTAAACTCGTTAGTTCCAATATGGACAAACTGAAACCAAAGATTGTAAAAATAGGTACCATCTGCAGTTCCTCTATTAAAACAGGCAGCATTCAGGAATAAGAGCAAAGGCTAGTTGTTACATAGTCAGAACTATGTGTCTAGGTTGAATAGCATGTCTTACTGTAGACTGCTACCTTAGTGTTTGTTGTTACATAGTCAGAACTATGTATCTAGGTTGAATAGCATGTCTTCCTGTAGACTGTTACCTTAAGTACCTGCTTAACCAAAGATGTCTGGAGTTTCTTAACAAAAATGTTCATTCTATGTGTTATGGTAGGTAAGGAGGCAGGAAACGTAATTAAATATGTCATATACTTTTGCCATAATAAGGTAAATAATTTATCATTTAGATATGGATCTGCAGAATTATGTGACAGCCATGTAAAGTTACTTTTAGAGATAATGAAGAATATACAGGGTTACACAATACAGTACAGAAATGTTACGGTACTAGTTAACAGGATGGTTAAATTCCTAGCCAAAGAACATCAGGTATTTAGATGACAATTACACATTCTTGATAATTATTTAAGGAATGACTGTAATATTTTTTATTTCTATGAAGAAATAACATCAAAAATGTGGTGCACACTGAATAACCTGTGTAGCGTGTTATTTAAAAGTGAGCATTACATTTTTGAGATTATTTCGAATAGACAGAAAAAATATTACAGTCATTTCTTATAATTTAATTCTAAATTCCGTTTTTAAGGAGTAAATCATGAAAAAACGTTGATGACGTCAAGGTCACATGACAAAATTATGTCTATGAGCTGATAGACAAAAAATTTTCAGCCAATCAGAAGACATGTTACATCCAAAATTAAATTATATATGAATAAAAGGTATCTGGGGTAAAGGTCAATGAGACATTTCAATGAGACAGCAACCCAACATATAATACAAATTATTTAAATGACATCTAGAGGTCAACATAGTCTGCATCAGAAGACAGGTGTCTGTATTGTAAAAATTTGAAGTTCTAAATCAGCCCATATTTTAAAATATTGTAAAAAAAAAGAAATAAACAGAAACTATTTGTTATCTACCATCAGTACCAAATTCTCCTAATCACAAAAAATGAGATATTATTTAAAACAATCACTTTGGAGGTTCCCGACTTTGGAAAATGTCTTTTTATTCAATAACATAGACTCCTATCAGTCCTGTTTCAAAGTTTCTGGTAATTTACATCAAATTCATGCTTTACTTGATTGAATCACCAGACACAAGATGTTAGCAACTATAGATCTCTGTATGGTCAACAATTAGCAGGGGCCTGGGTGGCAGAGTGGTCTAACTAGTTGAACTACTGTATCACTAGCCTGTCAACACTGAGGTTGTAAGTTCGAATCCCGCACATGGCAGGTGCGCACAATTCCAATCTTAATTGACAAGGATTGTCAGTTTTCCTACTAAAGATCATGGTTCTCTCTGGGCACTCCTCCAGCTTCCTCCACCAACAAAAACTGACTGCCACAAAATAGCACAATAGTGCTGAAAGTGGTGTTAAACACCAATCAATCAATCAATCAATCAATCAATCAACAGTGAGCAAAACCCAAATCAAATAGTAAGCTCTAAAAGGCCCCGACATGACAAAATGTTAACAATTGAAATGAGAAAACTAATGGCCTGATTTGTGTACAAAACAATAAACAAAAAATAAATATAATATGCAGCAACAAACAAAAACCACTGAATTACAGGCACATGCACAATGTGGGTGTTCTAAACATGTTCACAGCACAGCATAAGAACAAACTTTTAAAATCAGAAAGACCTTGTGCAATGCCAAAATATAAGTTTTAACAGGTTGTTCGACGGTAAGTATCGATAACTGAATTTGGCAGATATTTTACGTATTTTATCATCAAATGTTTATTTTTATTACTGAAGTAAAATTTCCTTGAATTTTAGGCCAATATTAACTTTTCGTGAACCTACTTCTTTCAGTTTTGCTTTAAAATTTAAAATATGTAAATAATAGTTTTATCTTTTACAGGTTGATATAATAAAACTATACCCACTTAGTAATCACATGACAATATGGTCAGCTTTGTCAATTTCTGGTTTCACATCAACAAATGCAAGGAGTTTAGTGGATGACATTGTTGGTCATTGTGTGAAAACTATTCATAACTTCATCAATACAACAGAAAAGAAGCCTGATAGCTTTGCTTTTCTTGTAAGTTAATCTACTTATGTGTCAGAAGCAAAAACCTCTTCGATAATGTGCCTTACATTTGATGCTGTTATTCATTGAAGAAAGCAACCTTATATTTTCTTGAACAAGTTTAAATTATGCTTTGACCTTTTTATTTTTATTTATAAAACTTAAATGAGGATTTCTATATAACCTAATCTGTGACAAAAAATCATAGAGTGAATTATAAAGCTAAGATGATAGTCAATATTTAGAACTATTACAGTTAATTCCCTTTGCACATTAGCTTTTTGTTATTAAGAAGAGTTACCGTTATAATGTTACAGATACAACTTCTATGTATTATTCTATTTTACTAAAATCTAGATTTCTGCTTTATATTAAATCATGTATTTATGACATTTGCGTAAAAGATCAACTTAATGACCAAATAGGCCAATTTTCATTTATATTTCAGAAAATATTTTCATTGATATGCCTAAAGTATCTTGTATTAAAATTTATATTTGTCTCTTTACAGATTTCATCAATAGATTGTCTGCTCAATATTTTTAATGATTCAGATGTTGTTGAAAAGTATCTCCTGCCGAATGCTCAGTCCACCGTTGTTGAAAAGACTGTAATGATTTGTAACAGCTTTTCTGATTGGTTGATATTACCTATTACAAGATTATGCCTTGCAAAGGTCATACATTTATACTCCTTCATCTTGCCTAACTTGAATAATAAAGAAATGTTACAGGTATGTAGAGAATAGACAGATTACCAGGAAAATGACCCTTCGTGTAAATTACTCTGAAAATGAATAACACTATTTATATTTACCAATACTTTCTAAAGTTTTAGTAATCTACACCTATATTGCAGCTAAAATTTATACAATTCTTCATTTCACTTGAAATTCACAAGATACTGGGCAATACCCAAGAGACAGAGTTGCATTGCAGAATAGAAAAAAAGAAATGAAAACACATTAACCTATAAACTATTGCTTATTGTATTCAAAGAGCTCATTAACCTATAAACTATTGCTTATTGTATTCAAAGAACTGTAAATTCAGAAATTATTGTGTGGGATTAATTATTGCGGTTTTGGGAACAGCTGCATACATATATATCTACCAGATATCAGAATGCAAGTATTTATTATTGAGATGTTCACCCAGTCGCATTTTTCGCATGAATAAAAACCTCGCAATAATTTCTGATTTTACTGTATTCAGCAATATAGAAAGTATAGTTAATTTGAACTTGTAATCTTTACGATGATTTTTGCTTAGTCTTGAAGGCAATGTGTCTTCTGATCTTGCATATTTAAACTATTAAGCATTTTTGTTACAAATATTCTTTTCACTTTAGGATAGTTTCCATCGAACTTTAAATGTTATATATCTATACCTTCAGATTTTAATACTGATATCAACTGTGATGAAACAAAGACCAGATCAGTATTTTAAACTATCTGTAGCTGTATTACTGCAACATTTAGGTTCTGTAAAGCTTTCTCCGTCATTTGAGGTATGTAAGTTTACAAGTAATGGATCTTAAATTTCATATCTAAGATGAAAAATAACAAAAATAATGAATACAATGTGATATAGACACAATGAAATGACAATCATGATAGTTTGTCAAATGAAGATTGATTTAAATAATTAATATTAACAAAAATCTCCATTTTAAAAGAATACATTGCTCATCTATAGAATCTCATTTGAGAATTCTAATATTGATAAAGCTGGAGAAGAGGGGGGATTTTGTTTTATTTTAATTGTATTTTTATCCTGTCACACTTTTTGCTTTACATTAGCAACCCTACATACTGTGGATTCATTTATTATATGACCTCATATTTTTTGTGGTCGTAGAATGTAAATTGTACCACAAGGTTCCATGTCTCAAACAGACGGTTGGGATTGATTTTGGTGGTAATGGCCCAAACCGTGTAGGAATTAAGGGCCAAAAACAAGCATTTTTCGTGTTTCATGACAATAAGTTGCGTTTAATTGTATGGATCTCTAAAAAAAATGTACCACATGGTTCCATAGGCTCCGTGTTGAAGACCGTACTGTGACCTATAATGGTTTACTTTTATAAATTTTGACTTGGATGGAGAGTTGTCTCATTGGCACTCATACCACATCTTCTTATATCTATTCAACAGGAAAGTTTGGATTGATTTTGGGGGTTATGGCCCAAACCGTTTAGGAATTTGGAACCAAAAAACTAGGATTTTCATGTTTTCGGACAATAACTTGAGTATAAGTCTATGGATCTCTATGAAATTGTACCATCAGGTTCCAGGCCAGCCAACTTTTGAAAATCCCCATGGGGGATTTTGTGCGCGTCCAGATTTTTAAGGGTTACAATTTTGTGGTGATTCTGTCCAGTGCACTGTTTTTTACTCTTGAAATAGTTTAATATCTCTTCTTTTTTCTTTTGGTATACTGATGATGAGCTAATAAGCCTTGATTTCTTTTATTTGCATCATTCTTGTACTTATTAATTGGCAAAATAACTTAAGAATAGAGAAAAATGGCCTAAAAAAATAAAAGATTCAAAGTGAAGATCCCCCCCCCTCCTTTTTCCCCCTCCATTTCCCCCCTCCAAAGACCTTATCTTCGCACCATGACTCAAAGACCTAAACCTAAATGTCCTAAAGTTAGAAGGATGAAGACAGATCTTGAGTTAGTCTATCAGTATTAATGAGAAAATGGATAAAATTGGAGTTATCTTTCTTTGTGCTCAGAGGCTTATACACAGTAGAAGTGAATACAATATGAGGTCGATTTTAAATCAGAACTGAACAGCAACAGGTCTGATTTTAAAAAGTTTTAACGGATTTGAAGATAAAGGGTGTTTTCTAATGAATTCATTACAGTTTTCATCTTTCAATTAATTATGATTTTGTCATGAAACTACAGTAAAAGTTGCAAATTGTGATCATATGAAAAATTGATTAAAATTGAAATGCCGACTGACCGATTCTATTTACAAATTAATTAATTATTAGGATTGTTATGACCTATCAGATAAGCAGATTACCTGTTACATCAAATTATGACACCTGTTGTGACTGTTGATTAGCTTGGGGTTGTAAACTTGTCATGAATATGTCGCCAGGTATAGAAATTGATCAGAACTTTTGAAAACTTCAAAATCGGTAACCAATAATTTTTTCAGGCAGATTTTGTGAAAATCAGGATTTTGACTTGTTTTACGATCCTGATATCGGGATTTGGGTTGAGGCAAATCGGGATAGTTGGCAGGTCTGAGGTTCCATACCATAAAAGGAAGGTTTGGATACATTTTGGGGGTTATGGCCCTAACCATTTTGGATTTAGGAAAAAGGGGCCAAAAACAATACTTTTTTAGTACTTAGTATAAATTGCATATTTCTTGACCAATTTCAATGGGGTTTAATTCAAAGTCTTGAATCCTTGGGGGTTCTTTAATATGCTGATTCTAAGTATTAAGTTTTTGGATTTTTGGCCCAGTTTTTAAATTGGTCCACATTGAGGTCCAAAGGGTCCAAAATTTAACTTTGTTTGATTTAAAAAAAGTTGAATTCTAGTGATTTTTTGATATGCTGAATCTAACAGCGTAATTTAGATTTTTGTGTCACCTGCGATGAAAGTCGCGGAAAGCGAGACATACGGATTGCTTTTCCAGCAACAGCATCAACAATTATCAAGTTTTCTGCTTAAGTTAGTTTGATAGGAACTACTTGTGATAGATCATTGATATTTACTACGACAACTATCTCGAGGCCCTGCCCTCTAAGTCATGGTCCTATGACTTTGAACTAATAAGCAATTTTCAATGTTAAGTTTTCTGCTTAAGTTAGTTTGATAGGAAATACTTGTGATAGATCATTGATATTTAATATGAAGTTGCATTACTATCTGTACATATCAGTTTGACAACAATTTGAGGCCCTCCCCCTAGGTCATGGTCCAGTGACTTTGAATTAAATTAGCAATTTTCAATGTTAAGTTTTCTGTGCTTAAGTTAGTTTGATAGGATTTACTTGTGATAGATCAATGATATTTTGTATGAAGTTGCATTACTATCAGTTTGACGACTATTTCGAGGCCCTACCCCTAGGTCATGCTCCAGTGACTCTGAATTTTATGCCGACAGACGAGACATATCTCTGTGTCAACAGTATATTGATTTTCGGCCCAGTTTTCAAATTGGTCCACATTAAGGTTCAAAGGGTCCAAAATTAAACTTAGTTTGATTTTAACACAAATTGAATTTAAGGGTTTTTTTTTGATATGCTGAATCTTAACTTGTATTTAGATTTTTGATTTTGGACCTAGTTTTCAAGTTGGTCCAAATCGGGGTCCAAAATTAAACTTTGTTTGGTTTCAACAAAAATTTAATTTATGCAGTTCTTTGATATGCTGAATCTAACTATGTATTTAAATTTTGGATTTGGGCCCCATTATCAAATTTGTCGACAATTAGGTCCAAAGGGTCCAAAATTGAATTCTTGGGGTTTTATGATATGTTGAATCTAACCATGTGTTTAGATTTTGGATATTGGACCATAATAGGTAAATGTCCAATTTCAAATTTTTAATTTCTTCGACAACTTTCATTCTGTGTCAGAAACCTATGCTATGTCAAATTTTTAATCACAATCAAAATTCAGAGCTGTATTGCACAATTAATAGAAATTGTTAGTAGATTCATAGTTAAAAACTGAAATAGCATCAAATTCTAATTTTAGAAATTATGCATGAATATGGTTTAAAATTATCTGTTCATTATTTATAGATAGTTTGAAAAATAATTAATGGTGAGATTTTTAGATTATTAAAAGACATTGTATAAATGATGAATGATATTTTGGAAATTTTTTTTGGAAATATTTTGAAGAACTTGGTGGTAGGTTTGTTTGTTATTCTGTATAAATTAATTTGTTCAGTCCTTTGACCACTTTCATTCTGTGTCAGAAACTTATGCTGTGTTAAATATTTAATCACAATCCAAATTCAGAGCTGTATTAAGCTTGAATATAGTTAGTGTCCATACCAAGGCTTCCAAAACGGTCGTATTGTCCGAAACTTGATATGATATTTTTTGACTTATTGTGTCGAGCCTGAATCAGACATATAAAGTGGGTTTGCCATTTTAACATAATTCTGAAAAAAAATTGAAGTTTATGCAATCTATTTGACCTGACCTTTTGCCTTAAACAGCAACACATTTCTGTTCATAAAAAGACATGATGAATAAGTACTATCAAAACAAACCCTACTTTAACACCCTCTAATGACAATCAAGGTTAATTAGTTGTCTGACAGCTAAAATTTACCTGTTCAGGCGACAGTTAACCTTTTTTTACCGGACATTGATCAGACTATTTAAAGTGATTTTCTTAAATTTCAGTGGTTTGCATCTAATTAATTTAGTCAAAAAGATTAATATTATCAGAAATACGTATATGAATATGATTTAATGAAAAATTTTAAAAAGGTAGCTATTGAAGCTACCATTTGATTTTAATGGGGAGGGGCAGCTATGATGAAATTTGAAAAAAAAGGCAGGACAGGAGTTGTGAGTAAAACAAAAAAGGCAGGATGAGCAACTTGGCAAAAAAAAAAGTCAGGATAAACCAATAAAAAAAAGACAGGACCAAATAAAGTGAAAAATAAAATGGCAGGACAGAGATTACAACAACAAAAAAATGCAGGACAAAATTTTTTCATCCTAGCCCCCCATAAAATCAAATGGTAGCTCCCTAATGAAGGTTTTGAGGGAAAAATCATTGATACCTTTATCTTACGTTCATTTCCGAGTATTTTCTTGAAGAAATAATGTGGAAAGAGCTGCTTAAACTCTATCGTGCTTTGTTAACCTACACAGATTTTACGTATCCGTCTCTGGTCCATGTTTTACCATTGTAAAGTCAACATCTGGTATTAGGAAAAAGTACTCTTTTTAAAATGAAATTAAAGTTTTGACAGCATAATTTTGCACAAATAAAGAGTCTAAGGAAGATATTAGTACGCTGATGTTGCACACTTCAAATGATGCACTGTCAATTTAACAGTTTACCTCAGAATATTGAATTTATATAAAAGGTCAAGTTTAGTATAGTATTTATGTCAATCATTGTTTATATAATGCTCAACTGAATACCATGATTGACTTTTGTTACTAAGTCTTAAGGGATTAAAATCGGGATAAGACAAAAAATGTCCGGCTGGCTCAAATATTTTTTGTAAGCCCTGGTACATACTTGCCCCACTGTTTAGGGTTTGACCTCTGCAGTCGTATCAAGCTGCACCTTGCGGAGCATTTTATTTTTTTTGATACCAATTTTCTTGGATTCAGAAAAACACACTTTCATGGATATTTGATTACATGGTTTTGCAAAGTCTGCATACAAGCCTATAGAAAATAATTCGTTGAACATTTAAATTCGTGGTTCACCTGTATCCATGAAAATTGGTATCCCATGAATAATAATGAATCCACAGTATTTGTATACTACAGAGATTGTTATGTGGCCTGTCTTCTTCTTTTGTACCTTCCCTAGTTGAAATTGTGCTATCTTGAATTATGGGAATCATCCAAATTGTCTAACTAATTAATCATATACCCATATCCTCTAACTTAAGTAGAGTTCAGTAGTTCATAAAATGAATTTGTGTAAAATGTATCAGATAAAGATTTTTCTGTTCTTTTCAAGCTTACATTTTTTTTATGCTTCTCAGTCTCATAACAAATATATATTTGAAGAAAGTGAATTGCAAATCAATTAAACTCAGAGGATATCATAAAAAATCTATGCCCATATACTCCAGCTAGCAAATTAAATTGGTAAAAGAAACACTGAAATGGAAGCATTTTGTTGTATATTATTGTCAAATTGAGCAGTTTTACCTAACCGGTTACCTGGATAATCTTTCAACAGTATGAAAGTTCATGTTAAAAGAAAATGTACCCTAAAGGTAAAGAAATATGATCACTATTGGTCTTCTTACAACCTGCAGTAAAACCCTCAGCCAAAGTGGGTGTCCTTTTGCTGTGTGGGATGTATGCATTTGCAGCCACATCTAGTCAGAATGGGGACAATTCAGATGCCTCCTATAGTGAAAGTGTTACACTCTATGCACGCTAAAATCCTTGCAGCAACTCTTTGAGTGGTCTGTATGAGGTCTGTTGCATGGCTTAACTTCTATCCCTATCAAAAACACCCTCATTTCTCAGTAGCATTTCAATGTCTAACTCTCCATGCCGGTCGTCCAGTATTACAGGACATGCCTATTGAATTAATTGTTAATGTGTTCTCATCCTGAACATGCATGAAATATTTTCCATGTAACTTAACACAAACAGCAATCAATCAATCAACCAATTAAAGAAATGTCTTCAGTACCATATCATGGTGTATGGTTATATTTTATGATGTATTAAAGTTTATCCCACACCTGGTTATATAATATAATGTATTGAAGTTAATGGTCACATGTTTTCCTAAAACATACTGTATAGTACTTGTCTGCATGATACTGGAAAGACCAGTATTCACTAAATTTGCATTTCCCAATTTTTATAAGCCCGTTCACGGGACACATTATGGTATACTGTTGTCCGTCCGTCATCAACATGTCGTACAATAACTCAAAAACACTTTAACCAATTTGCATTAAACTTTAATGAATTGTTTATATCTATTGATTTGAGCTCCCTTTCGATTTTTAAAAATTTTAGATTTTACATTTCCAAATTATGGGGTTTTATTCATTAAAAAAGGGGGATTTTCCAGTTTTCGGATAATAACTCAAAAGTGCTTTGAGCAGTTTTCTTGAAACTTTGGTGACTGGTTTATATCTATTAAAATAACCTCCCTTTAGTCTTTTATAAATTTCTGATATGACATTGAGGAGTTATGGAATTTTATTCTTTAATAAAAAAAAGCAACAGGTGTATCATGCGCTCATGGCGCAGCACTTTATTGAATCAGCATTCCTTTTGAAATATTATCAAGCCTTAAGTTAGAATGAAAAGTACAACTAAATCTTAAATTTGATCAGCTTACAGCTGTTTAATCTCACCTAGTTTATCTAACATTTTGTCCCAAGCTGATAGCCTAATGTGTCATCTAATTGATTAAGGTAAAACTGGAATGTATTCATTGTTAATTAAGTCACATATGTACAGGATAATTGATCTCATTAAGTACAACCGAGCATGTTAAAAGATTACTATTCCTTAATTATGATTTCAATATACATTTATACCAAAACTATTAAAATTGAAAAAGGTCTGATTAACCGAATAATGATTTTGGTATTTGATATCCACAGGTTAAATTTTGACAACACTAATATAAAGCTAAAAACAAAATATTTCTGGGCTAGTCTTGCATTTATTGTCTAGCAAATGTGTCAATTCCCATCATTTGACTATTTATGGTTTATCTTGTTTTTCAGCAGAGTCAAATATTAAACAAAATCCCAGAGATTTTCAACAGTTTATTATCAGATACAACTAGTATTATAAAACACAAAGCATTAGAAACATTTACCAAGTTTGCTGAGGTCACAGTTCATGAGTCTATAGTTCCTCAGTGCATACAGAATGATACAAATATTCAGGACAGTGTTGTAGCATTCCTAAATAAGGTAGGCATAGCTATTGTATTGAAGTAATACCTGTAATTTTACTTCATGAGAATTTAACTCAATGGAATGATTTGAACTTTGGGCCATGTTACTGTGACTTGACTGTTAGTGTTGATCTCCACCTACTGCAGTTTATTCAAAATTTTGTCCAAATTGCAATTTTTTGTTTGTTTTATCAAACCAAACTGTTCCAACTGGTCAGAAATTTTAACAAACTGCTGTAGAAAACCAAAGTGCAAGGTGATAAAATAAAGCATACTTACAATCCTATTATACTTTAATTGCATTTCATTGATATTATGAAAATGTTTATGCTTTATTTTATCATCTTGCACTTTCACGGCTTGACTGGTTTTCTACAGCAGTTTGTAAGCAAAACTTACAGTCAGGTCACAGTAAGTATTCTGTTTTTTGACACTTGACCCCTAAAAACTTGATGAGGAAGGGTAATAAGTTTCTGTATTCATAATTATGTTGACGTCTGCCAGTCTTTTTTTAAATGTATATATATTTCTGTATAAAATATTATATAATTGGAAGGCCTTGAAAAAGATGTCACCGACAAACAGTATTCCATAAAAATTCCACAGCTGACAAAAGATGGATCCACACTTTACAGTGACATGTTTTATGTAGTGATAAAATTTCTGAAATGTTAGTAACAGCATTATTCAATTACTTTCCATTTCTCTCTCAATTATCTAGAAATTTTTGTCTATTATTTGTGTACAAAGCAGAAGGATATAAGGTCTAGCTTTCTTTTTCAGGCTTAATTGTAATTTGACAGCTGTCTCAAGCTGTAGATTTTATCAAATATTCCATTTTGAACTATCTTCAAAAATTGATTTAAAAGTGTGAATCAACACCTTGTGTAAATTAATCGACATCCCTTAGATTAGTTTCTATAAAAGTAATGTGTAAAAAGTTGGATGAATCACAAGCAACATATCTTTCTTTCTTCAAAGGATTTTATCCTTGGGTATATCTATATTCATTCAGGCCATTGTAACTGCTTTAGAAAACTCCTTTTCACAGGTCACTTATGGTCACACTGACACAAAAATTAGTTTTGTTTATATTTTGACTGCTGCAAACCAGATTATCTTTAAATGACTGGTTCGGCATTATACAAGTCAAGAAAATTCCTAACTCGGTAAGAGTTATCTAACCAATATCAAACATGCCATTTTTTAAATTTTTTATTGCCTTAAATACATGTAGTTCAAAAGTTATCCCCCTTTAACCAATTTGAACTGTGTACATTTAAAAAAAAATTGTATTTGTTTTTGTTTTTTTTTGTGATAATACTTGGGGCCAGTATCTGAGTACCAAATACTTTATGTACATGGGCTTACATTGTTTATTTTGTATAAATGGATTTCATTTGTTAGAGTAGTTAAAAAACCAATTGCTAACCTCGGAAATACATTGAATATAGTTTTTGAAAAAAAAAGATGATGTACCATACATCAAAGGAACTGTACTTTTTTGCTGTCCTTCATATGGACAGTTGTGTGTTAATTGATACTGGTAATCCCTACATTAAGATCGATACTTCTGCTAGCTTGGCCACAACTATATTTTTTTGTATATTTTAATGATAATGGCTGCATATGCTTCTGAAAAGTCAGTGAGATTAATCAATAAGCTACATAGAAATAATTTGTATTTATTTATACATATGCTGTTATTAGTTTTCCAGTAAAATACACTATTAACATGCTGATGCAGTCTATTGCAGATTAGAAATATATTCAATAATTGAATTCAGACACAGCCTCACTGCAGGGAAAAATTTGAAACCTTGCAGCTGAAAGGGAAGTTTGGTTTTATTATTACCATGAGAAATTCTCACATGAACAAACACTTTATTTATGTTTAAAAACAGGGAGAATATCAAAACACTGCATCAGATACAAACTTTGTTTAAAATTTACAAATAAAGGGTATGGGTAGGATATACATGAGAAAAAAATCTCACATAATTATACAGGACATATTCATATACTATATATAGCTATGAATTCATTATTTTTTGTGGGATATTTATTTTTGTGGATTTCAAGGGTAAAGATAAACCATGAATGTTCCAACAAGGTACAAATTTACTATAGGTGTGTATGTAGGCAAAACCACAAAATCAAATATCCACAAAAATACAAGTTCTCATCAATCTACAAAAATTATTATCCACAAAATAAATGAATCCACAGTATCTAAGAAATAGTGTTTTCGTTGCATCTTTTTTATCGTGATAGCTGCTAGATTGCCTTCATCCATGAGATGAAATCCTTGAACCTCACATACTTGTAGACCCCTGAAAGACCACAGTACAAATTAATATGTTATTTTGTAGTCTGACACTGTCCAGCTTGGGCAACACATAGTGATCACGTTTGTCGATGTATGTGTCATACTTTTTATACGACCGCAAAAACATTTTGCGATCGTATATTGGTATGACGTTGACGTTGGCGTTGTCGTCGTCGTCCGAAGACACATTGGTTTTCGCACTCTAACTTTAGTTTAAGTGAATGGATCTCTATGAAATTTTACCATAAGGTTCAATACCACAAAAGGAAGGTTGGGATTGATTTTGGGGGTTATGGTACCAACAGTTAAGGAATAAGGGGCCAAAAAGGGGCCAAAAATAAGCATTTTTGTAACTTCCAGAAATTACTTGTGTGTTAGTGTATGGATCTCTCTGACATTGTACCACAAGGTTCCATATCACAAAGGGAATGCTGGGATTGATTTTGGGGGTAATTGCCTCAAAATTTTAGGAATTAGGGGCCAAAAAAGGGGCAAATAACAAGCATTTTTATATGGACAAATAATTTAGTACAAAACATTATTTAAAGCAGTGTAAGGGAGATAAATCAAATACATCATTTGAATTACCTCCCTTACACTGCTTTTAAATTATGTATAAAGTAATGGTTAATGAACAATTAAGACAATTTAAAACAGTGTAAGGGAGGTAATCCACATACAGCGTTTTGATTACTTCCCTTACACTGCTTTTAAATTATGTTTAAAGAAATGCATATTTATAAAGGAAGACCAGTAAAAATATCTGCAAATGTTGCATCTTTTTTTTTTTACAAAAAAATCCATATTAAAGATTTGACACCATATTTTAAATTCTATTATAAAATAGATTAAGTTAGCACTATGGTAAATTTAAATGGGTAATTATGGTTGCAAATTCATTGGAAATTTGAATTGAGATTATGACCATATCTTGAGGGAAAGAATTTTTTTGGGGAAAAAGGGGGGGGGGGGGGGGGGGGGGGAAAGAAATTGTTGGGGGTCATTTTTCTCATTTCAGATTTCAGAAATTAAAAAGAATTATTCTTCAAATATTGAAAAATTTCAAGAAGTAATCTTTAATTGCACAGTATGGCGCATTAGATTTGTAAAATCTTTGACCACATTTATTTATTTGTTATGCCAAATCAGACTGTGTATTTAGATTTTTAATTTTGGGTCCAGTTTTTAAATTGGTCTACATTAAGGTCCAAAGGGTCCAAAATTAAACTTAGTTTGATTTTAACAAAAATTGAATATATGGGGTTCTTTGATATGCTGAATCTAAACATGTATTTAGATTTTAGATTTCGGGCCCAGTTTTCAAGTTGGTCCAAATTGGGGTCCAAAATTAAACTTTGTTTGATTTCAACAAAAATTGAATATATGGGGTTCTTTGATATGCTGAATCTAACCATGTATTTAGATTTTTTATTTGTGGGCCCGGCTAAATTAATCAAATTGGTTCATATTGAGGTCAAAAGGGTCCAAAATTAAACTTTGTTTGATTTCATCAAAAATTGAATTATTGGGGTTCTTTGATATGCCAAATCTAACCGTGTATTTAGATTTTTAATTTTGGGTCCAGTTTTCAAATTGGTCTACATTAAGGTCCAAAGGATCCAAAATTAAACTTAGTTTGATTTTAACAAAAATTGAATATATGGGGTTCTTTGATATGCTGAATCTAAACATGTATTTAGATTTTTGATTTTGGGCCCAGTTTTCAAGTTGGTCCAAATTGGGGTCCAAAATTAAACTATGTTTGATTTCAACAAAAATTGAATATATGGGGTTCTTTGATATGCTGAATCTAACCATGTATTTTGATTTTTGGGCCCCGTTATCAAATTGGTCCACATTGAGGTCAAAAGGGTCCAAAATACTACTTTGTTTGATTTCATCAAAAATTGAATTCTTTGGATTCTTTGATATGCTGAATCTAACCATGTATTTAGATTTTGGATATTGGACCATAATAGGTAAATTAAAAAAAATTAAGTTCTTAGACCACATTCATTCTGTGTCAGAAACCTATGCTGTGTCAAATATTTAATCACAATCCAAATTCAGAGCTGTATCAAGCTTGAATGTTGTATCCATACTTGCCCCAACTGTTCAGGGTTCGACCTCTGCGGTCGTATCAAGCTGCGCCCAGCGGAGTATTTTATTTGATATGCTATGAAGATCACTTTACACATGCTATTTAAATTTTATCCCTGCTCGGAAAGATACTATTTTAATCTTGTCTGTCCATATATAAAAATAAGGAGATGTGGTATGATTGCCAATGAGACAACTATCCACCAATGTTCAAATGAAGTGGATGTAAGCTATTATAGGTAACCGTGCAGCCGTCAACAATGAGAAAACCCATACCGTATGGTCGGCTATAAAATATATATATATATGTTTGTTAGTCCAATGAAATTTCCATCACATTTTCTCTGGGACTAGAGCTTCCAGAAATTTGTAATCAGGCTTCATGTGAACATGCTTAGGCATGTGATGCATTTCCAGATTAGTCTCTTATAAACTTCCTGTTGACTAAATACTTATATATTCTAACATATGATGGCTATGTAAAAATAATTCTGTCATATTTTGCTAGGGAACATGAGCTTTCTGAATTTTGTTAACATATATGTGAACATGCTTTACCCTGTGCTGTGTTTTCACATCCATTCCTTTTCAACTTCTTGTGTTTCGATACTTAAAGAGGGGGTATCATAAGTGGGCAATAACTCACAGTTTCACTCTTTATTTATTTGTTTGATTTTTATACGCCCGTCAAATTTTTGACGGGACGTATTATGTTATACAAATGTCCGGCGTCTGTCTGTCTGTCTGTCTGTCCATCTGTCTGTCCGTCTGTCTGTCTGTCCGGCGTAAACATGTCGCACCGTAACTTGAGAATGACTTATCCAAATTTCATGAAACTTAACATAGTTGTTTCTTATGATGGTCAAACGATCTGTATATTTTTTGGTGAAAATAAGATTAAAACTTTTTGAGTTACGGGACTTAGTAACTAAAACAGGTGTGTGTTTTTTTTTCACATGTCGCGCCGTATCTCAAAAACAATTTATGATTATTGCTTAAAACTTTACACACTTCTTAGTTATATTAATCTTAAGATCTGTATACTTTTTGGTGATGATTCAAAATTTTATTTTAGAGATATTGAGTATTTTGTTAAAAAAGGGGGAGGGGTTTTTCACATGTCGCGCCGTATCTCAAAAACAGTTTATGATTATTGCTTAAAACTTTACACACTTCTTAGTTATATTAACCTTAAGATCTGTATACTTTTTGGTGATGATTCAAAATTTTATTTTTGAGTTATTGAGTATTTTGTAAAAAAAGGGGGAGGGGTTTTTCACATGTCGCGCCGTATCTCTAAAAGATTTATGATTATTGCTTAAAATTTTACACACTTCTTAGTTATATTAATCTAAAGATCTGTATACTTTTTGTTTTGATTCAAAATTTTATTTTTGAGATATTGATTTTTTTTTTTTTTAAAGGGGGGGTTTTCACATGTCGCACCGTATCTCAAAAACAATTTATGATTATTGCTTAAAATTTTACACACTTCTTAGTTATATTAATCTAAAGATCTGTATACTTTTTGGTTTTGATTCAAAATTTTATTTTAGAGATATTGAGTTTTTTGTAAAAAAAAAGGGGGTTTTCGCATGTCACGCCGTATGTCAGAAACTATTTATGCTTATTGCATAAAAATTCACACACAAGACGACGGGCGTATCATGCGCTCATGTCGCAGCTGTTTATTGGGATTTCCCGTACCAAACCATGGACTTAAAATATACATTGTCTCAAAACATCAAATTTATTTGTACAAGGCTTAGAAACAGGTAGACTTTGAGGCTGTTAATTATGTTGATCATTTCTATCCTGTTTTGAGCCAAGAACAAATCAAATGTATTATTTGAAACAATGAATTTTTTTTTCTTTATAGTGCAACCATAAAACTGTTCCAAATGAAATACTTTGGTTAGAAATCATCAATTTCAAATTTGAAGTGTGCAATGTAAAATTTTATGAACCTGCATTATTTCAACACATCTAAGATCAAAATCTTAGAAGCAGACTACCAATATCATGAACTGTCAGTGAATGTGTAAAGCCATCATTTGTACGTCAATGCATTTTGACTGCACAAATAGCACTGTTGCAAAATACATGATATTCTGTTAGCACTTAAATTGAATGCTTGAACTTTTATTTGAAGACTCCATTTCCATCATCTGTGAATAGAAAAGATTATTTAATAACTTTGCTAAACAGTACAGATGAAGAAGATGACAGTGTTGAGAGGAATGATGGCAGACAAGAGGTATAGAAGTCAATTGTGACATTTTAAAAAATAAAGTACAATTCGCTGTTTCAGAATCTTGAGGACTATTGGTAATTAACTTGTTAGTACCCCAGAATGAAAATACCATCACGTTACTGGTAGAATTTCCATTGTTTAAGTCGCTTTTTAACCAATGACAAGGCTTTGGTGGTCTCTTTTGAAAATATTACATTAGATTCTGAAACCACGAATTCTGACAGCATTGAACCAGTACAACACTTCATTTTTAGACAAGTTTTTTAATTCTGTAAGGTGGAGATGTGTATAACATTCATATCATCATATATATCCTCAGTATAAATCAATGGAAGAGGTATGAAAAGAGTCATTATTAGCCACTGAAATAGAAAAAAACACCCAAATTCTTCAATCTGTTAAAAATTGTTAGTTTTAACAGATAAATGAATGTTACAATATAATCTGGACACTTTAAGAATAGGAATTTAAGTTTTGATGTCACTGTGACATAAACAATTTAAAATCATCATATTTGATTGAAATAGCAATTTTATACACAAGATTTTTGCAAATTTGAATATGAGCCAAGGCCTTGCCCAAAATGATGCTTTACTAACATTAACATCTTTGTTTAGGACATCTTGTAACTATCTTTTTAGATAAGGCCTTGGTTTATATAAAAAGTCATATGATACTTCAAATTTTGAAAAAAGTTGAACATGTTTTATATACTTGAATAGCATAGATTTACTATAAAACATGTGTACATGTCATGGACTTTCTTTTAAAAGAAAATCCTTTATTCAACAAAATCTTCAGAAATGTACTGCTATTGAATTATTGTTCTTCCTGTACTCTCATTCCCTGATAGCTTTTCCTTATGCAGTGACCTTTGGTTAGCACTTCAGCACAAGTGCCAGGGAAAAACCGTCATGAAAGAAACGGTAAACAAATGTAGAAGTAAGAAAAATACACAAATCATTTCAAAAGTGTTATGACAAAGTTTAATTAACAAATAGAAATGCATGGAGTATACTAAAACAAATTAAACATTGCTCTAGTGCATGTCTATCATCTCCACTTATTTTTTTCGCATTCCATGATTCTATTTTGATTGTTTATAAAGATCACATTCAGTAAACGTCGGCAATAAAACATGAAAGTTAATTAGCAGTCAAAGTTTTCACTAAATGAAATATTTTTTGTTGATTATATGTAATGGATTCATAATAAATGTAAAAAAATCCTGCATAGAGGACTTACGGTAGTTTAGTATTTATACATGCATTGCATAAGGCAAAATTCAAAATATATAAATATTGATGTTTTACAGATTTTATCTGTCTCATAAAAGCACTTTTAATTAAATGTTAAAAATATATGACAGCTGCACTGTTAGTGATGTGAAACACTTAAGGCTTGTCAAGGTTTTCTACTTGTGTGTATCAAGTACACATATATTCTAGATATTGAAGAAATATTATTTTTACTTTTAAGCTTAAAATCTATGTACAAAATGTGTATCTAGTATACAAAATTTGCCATTTGATTATCTGAGGCCCTATTCATTATTTGAAATATGGTTAATTGCAGGAGGAATATACAATATTTACACTGTCCAAAAATTTAAGATTTATTTTTACTATTCAAGTGTTATTGTCCTTTTTTGATTGAAAAAAGTAGATGTAGGAGGATTTTTTGTGGATTGACCATTTATTTTCATCTGTTGCAACACATGCTTATTTTTTGCACCTCGAGAATTAATTTTCACTGTTGTACACAATTATTTCCTTCATTTTGTGTTACAGAATATTAATCTTATGCTCTTACCAGGCCAGGATGTTTATTTTCAAAATCCTCCCCCCTACCTTCCTAGGTTACCTAGTTTAGATAAATATGTTTTTGACCCAAGTTCAAATTTCTCCATCATTTCCATGTTAAAATTGCACAAATCCAAATATATGTAATGATGTACATGTATTTAAGTATGATTTTTTTTTCCCTTCACAGCCATTAAGTAAACGTCCCAGAACTGAAGATTGTAGAAAATTTGAGAATCAGCAGCAATTGATAGACCTGCTTCTCAGCTGCAGTCAAGGATTACAGGAGAACAAAGATGCTATACCAAATCAGCTAATTTTGAGACTTAAAGAAGCTAGGAATTTGATTTCTTCTTTTCTTGATGAAAAAGGATAAAAAAATATAATTTATATTGACAAACTGCATTATGTGTTCCAAATTTTTTAATGAAAATGTTTATAGAAATATGTTGTGATGTTGTTTGTTTCTAATATGACTGTTGGTTGCCATTGCTACCAAAAACACACTTTTAAAAAAACTCATCAAAGAGTAGTGTTTTATTGAGTTGACCCATTTTATTTTGTGAACCCGTTTCTAGTGTCACTATTATAAACCATTTATAAATAATATCCACTACAAACAAATAACTACCAAAGAAAAAGGGAGATAACAAATACCAGTCATTAAAATGAGGAAAAACATACTGAGGGAGCAATCAAAAATCATTAGTCCAATAAAAACACACTACACCATGGCCAAAAAAGAATATAGGACGAAAAGACATCAGTCCAAAAAACCCTTCACAGAAAACTAAAGATTTCGCAACATAAACCCTATCAAAAATGACTCGGTGTTCCTGAAAGGAAAGCAGTTCATGCTGTGTTAATCATTGCAAGTAAAAACTTGATGTAATTTTGTCGACACACCTTTTGGAGGTCATGTTATTCCCTCAGTTTTTGTTTGTTACCTTGATTTGTCTTGATCTATTTATGTGATTTCAACATTTTATTGGGTCAATCTAAATCAATGGGTGTTACACATTATCCAAACAGTTTGAAAGTAGGAAGAAAAGCAAATGGGCCTAACATAAGGTATCAAACCTATGAAAGTCAGGCAAAGTTAATACTTGGTTAGATAGGTAAACCATATATAATTGATCAGGTAAGGAGCATGAAAGTAAGGCAAAGTTGCCTAAATACTGGGTTAGATAGGTAAACCATATATAATTGATCAGGTAAGGAGCATGAAAGTCAGGCAAAGTTGCCTAAATACTGGATTAGATAGGTAAACCATATATAATTGATCAGGTAAGGAGCATGAAAGTCAGGCAAAGTTGCCTAAATACTGGGTTAGATAGGTAAACCATATATAATTGATCAGGTAAGGAGCATGAAAGTCAGGCAAAGTTGCCTAAATACTGGGTTAGGTAAACCATATATAATTGATCAGGTAAGGAGAATGAAAGTCTGGCAAAGTTGCCTAAATACTGGGTTTGATAGGTAAACGATATATAATTGATCAGGCAAGGAGCCGAACTAATAACAGCTCTTCTGAGATGACATCTGTCAAGCTTTGTCTCTTTTTGTTTAAGATTTATATGAGATGGATAGATGAACTTTGCTGAATAAGATCAGAAGTTTACCAATGATTGAAAATAATTTCAAATATTTCATTTGACAATGCCTGTACTACGCAGGCGTGTTTGGACTAAGACAGTCAACATTTGATTTATTCTATTACTAGTAGGATAACAGAGATGGTATGGACATTGAATTTTTTCGATTTTTACCTTGAAGCTAGTAATCCCCTTTTTCTGACACACATTGAGTCTAGCCACATGTCTGATCTTATCTCAGAAATTGATTGTAAATAAGTATGAATTACGTAGCAATACAGTTGTTTACATGTATAGTCGTGTCACAGTTGCTTTTATTATACTTCATGTCAAAATGCCAGATGTTGATGGGAGGGAGACAATTTACTCTATTACCCTTCAAGGAGACGCTTGAGATCAAGTGTGCGCTTTAATAAATACGGATTATTGTTATGCACAAGACGTCGTAGTTTATTACTTTGAATTTGAAATTTAATAGACAGTACTAACAGAACATTCATTATAATAAATTAAATAACACATAGCTGAGAGGGTGATAGAGCAGATTGTTACCCCTCGAAAAGACATTGTCAACCTTGGCTTCGCCTCAGTTGACAATTTTTTTCTCGGGGTAACAATCTGCTCTATCACCCTTTCAGCTATGTGTTATTTATATAATAATGTATTTGTTTCAGCTTTAATAGATATTTGGTGCACACTTCCAAATGAAACAATGTTTAGTATAATCTTTACTAAGTCCACATCTTAGGTTGACATACAACACTCGCATCAGTCTTTACCACTTGGTTGGTACCATTCTCTAGATCTGCTGAGGTTTGTCAAAGGGTTTGGTTTAGATATCAAAACATTGTATTGTTGATTTTTTTTCTCCGGTTTTTTTTTGGATTTAGAAAGATCATATTCCATTAGCTTTTCGGCTGTTGGTAATTTGTACTTTGTAAAGGAAGACAGGCCTCAGTCTAAAGATGAATGTATTTACCTGTTCCTTTGACATGAACAATTATCTTTCTATAATTTAAGATTTTTTTCCGTAATCACTAAAACAAAAGTGTGAGTAGAAGTAAATACTAGTATATGACCATCTGTATAAGCTCCTTCTAAACGTAACATATGTTGATTCATTGGCTATACTTTAGGGAAGATCTTGTTTGTGTTGACATATTTTGAATTAAAGTCGTGCGAGTTGCACAATGGCAGTTCAACACTTCATTACTATGAATTCCTTTGCAAGCATGAAGTCCTTATCCATTATACCCGATTTGTTTGGTATTACTGTCTCTAATTCGTATGTAGTCCGACTGCGGACAATGTTCAGGAGACCTAACTTCGTGTTCAACGCCTGCAAAGATGAGGATGTCAGGGGCACAGGTAAGCCAAGTTGACAATTTTCAATCTGATCTTGTTTAGGCTAGTATAGTGGTTTTACTATATCTTTTATAAGATACAGTAAAAATATCCACCTTCAAGGTCGAACACTAGGTTCTTGCACAAACTCATTAGACAAACTGTTGTTCTATTTGACTTTATAACATTACGATTCATGTTCTGATATAGAATCCAAGTTGCACCGATGATTCCGTCGTGGAATACATTGCTAAAAAGATTCTCATGGTGTATTGTTTCTGAAGCATTTTTGGGTCTATAGACTTACCCGTGCTAATTCTCTTCGATATATTCTTTTGAGTAAAGCCTCGTTGCAGTTATCTTTGGGGTTTCAGAAGCTTTGGCTCTGAATGATCCTGTCGGCGCTCATATTTTAGAAGCTTTTGCTCTATTGCTCATTTAGGATGCCTTCTATTAGAGTTAGCATGATGTTCACTACCACGATACCTTAGTAATTCTCTGGTTATATTTTATTCTGCCCAATAATGTGATTTTTGATTTGGTTATTATTTTTAAGGCCCTTTTGGTCATATAGCTCTTCAACTGTTTCGGTTCTTGTACATCTTTGGGTTTCAATTATTCCTGATGAAGCTAAATCAAGAAAAGTGCTTCGGATGCATAAAATTGATAGAGCCTTGTTTTCGTTTTTTTTAACTGTTCTAGCAAAACCATTCATTGACAATTGAGGCACATCTTCATCTTTGAAGATACCGTTATTAGTATCGTCGTCGTTAACTTTTTACATTATGAACTTTTTCTACAGAACCACTGAATGGAATGAAACCAAACATTGCATGAATGTTCCAAATGAGGCGTGGCCAAGTGTTGTTACTTTGTAGCAAATCCATCAACCAAGATGGCTACCCATGGGGGGCTTGGTTAAACAAAGGACCCCATGGGAAATACATATCTTCTTTTGAAGAACAACTGAATGGAATGAAACCATACATGGCATGATTTTTTCTTATGAGGTGCTGACCAAGTGTTGTTACTTTGTAGCAAATCCATCAACCAAGATGGCTGCCCATGGGGGACTTAGTTAAACAAAGGACCCTATGGGAAATATATACAAATGTCTTCTTCTAGAAAACCGCTTAATGGATTGAAACCAAACATGGTATGAATGTTTCTTTTGAGGTGCTGACCAAGTGTTGTTACTTTGTAGCTGATTTGTCATCCAAGATGGCTGCCAGCAGGGGGAGTAAGTTTAACATAGGACCGTATGGGAAATACATACAAATGATTTCTTCTAGAGAACCACTTAATAGAATGAAACCAAACATGGCATGAATGTTCCTAATGAGATGCTGACCAAGTGTTGTTACTTTGTAGCCGAACCATCATCTAAGATGGCCGCCAGCAGGGGACTTAGTTTAGCATAAGACCCTATGGGAAATACATACAAATGCTTCTTCTAGAGGAGCACTGAATGGAATGAAACCAAACATGGCATAAATGTTACTTATAAGGTGCTGATAAAGACCTTAATACATGTATCTTTATAGATTGAGATATACTGTAAACTGCAAAAATATCAAGAAAAGAAGATCTACACATAAATCAACATGAGTATAATTGTCAATTGACGTCTTGTTGGAGTTATTGTCCTTATAAAGTCCTTTTCTACAATTTCAATGAACTTATTGGTAGTTTCTGTAAACTTTACAAAAGTCTCCTGCTTTTGATTAAATTACGGGGCCAATATTAAACCAAATTTGGCCTCAATCATTATTAGGGTATCTGTTATGATTTTAATCTATTTTTACATGATTTCCAAAACCAAAGTAGAATCAGGTGAGCGACACAGGCTCTTCGATCCTCTAGTTTTAGTTCAAATGTTTTAATTTCCTCATTCCTGTCTTTCTAACTTTTTCGGTAATAAAACGAGTTTGCGTTTGTCATGGTTTCATTTCCGCTTTAGATCACTCATTTCATTTGTAGAGATCTTCAATGTATTGTTTCCACTCATCGAGAAAGATTCCCATTCTCTCCACTAAAACAGTTTTTTCTGTTGTGCTGCTGCTGACGTAAAAGTTTATTAAACAGGTTAATTGTTTACTTTCACGTAATTGAATCTTGTTGATAGACTAGTTGTCTCATTGCAATCAAAACACCATCTTTTTTTTTATATTGCTTCGTTTTTTGATGATAGTTTATTTCCTAAAGGATATTCCGAATCAGTGCATACACTTCTTATTTTCGTTCACATATTTTCTTCATTCTACTCTGTTCGTGGTTGCTACTCTTATCATTTTCTACTGATAAAACTTTCTTTGAGGCATACAGTTTTTCATTTTACTCTATATCCTCTTGTTAACTGGTTTCCCCGCTAAGTATTTTCGCAAGAAAATGTTCTTCATGTCATTTCCGATTTCCTTATAGATGTTCAACATCTTCCTTGTCAGATCTAGACCAACGTTGCCTTGGAGTTATTTGACAACTGTGCACGTTTTCTTACGTTTTTCATATGC